CTACATATCTAAATTACTACACATCTAATCTAACAAAAAAAATCTATGAACTACAAAAAAATCTAAAAAAATCTAACAAAAATCATAAAAAGTCGCTCACGGCGAGGTCGACGGCGACGACGACAGTGACGGCGAGGTGCGGCGCGGGGCGGCGACGGCGTCGGGGCAGCGCTGGCCGGGGCGGCGACGTTGGGGCGGCAGGGCGGGGCGGGGCGGCGACGGCGTCGGGGCGGGGCGGCAACGGCGAGGTGGCGGCAGGGGACGGCGCGCGGCGTCGGGAGAGCAGGGGGAGATCGAAGTGGGGATGCGGTTCTGAAATTTTCCTAAGTGCTACTTATATAGCAAAGGCTTTGGTCCCGGTTCGTGAAACAAACCGGGACCAATGCCACCTTTAATCCCGGTTGGTGGCACCAACCGGGACCAAATGCCTCTTTTCAGCAGCCCAAAGGGCGGGAAACAAAGACCTTTGGTCCCGGTTGGTGGCACCAACCGGGACTAAAGATGGGCATTAGTCCAGGTTGGGGCCACCAACCGGGACTAAAGAGGGTCATTGGTCTCGTTTGTGGCCACCAACCGGTACCAATGGACCCGTCTAATTACTTATTTATTTTCTGCAGCTATTTTTTAGTTGATTCTTTCTGCAGCTGTTTTTTAGTCCCACCACGCCAAGCGAGAGGCACTCGCAGCTGTTTATAAGCCCTGAGTGCAGAGACGATGAAGAAGAGGCTCAATGCTCACCTGCACGTTGGTTCGCTTCAAGCCTTGAGGAATAGGGTAGACTGCACGGAGCTATGTGCAGTGCAATTTACACTATTCCGAAAGATTTGAAGCGAATTAACTAGCATTGCGCCTCATTTTTATTTTTAATGACTTATTACAAATCATAAAAAAATAGAAAAAAAATAAATATAGTAGAAAAGAAAAAAAAACTATATAAAAAACTACTCAGAAATAAATAGAAGAAAAAATAGTTGTGATTAACTTTACTAAAAAAATGAGCATAGATGCTTATTTTTAATGACTTAATACCACACAGAAATAAATATAAAAAAATAAATATAGCGGAAAAGAAAAAATACTATATAAAAAACTACTCAGAAATAAATACAAGAAAAAATAGTTGTGATTAATTTTACTAAAAAAATGAGCACAGATGCTTATTTTTAATGACTTATTACAACTCAGAAATAAATAGAAAAAAAATATAGCAGAAAAGAAAAAAAACTATATAAAAAACTACTCAGAAATAAATAGAAGAAAAAATAATTGTGATTAACTTTACTAAAAAAATGAGCATAGATGCTTATTTTAATGACTTATTAACACACAGAAAAAAATAGAAAAAAATAAATATAGCAGAAAAGAAAAAATACTATATAAAAAAGTACTCAGAAGTAAATAGAGAAAAAATAATTGTGATTAACTTTACTAAAATCTTTTTTATTTTTAATGACTTATTACAACTCAGAAATAAATAGAAAAAAATAAATATAGCAGAAAAGAAAAAAAAACTATATAAAAAACTACTCAGAAATAAATAGAAGAAAAAATAGTTGTGATTAACTTTACTAAAAAAATGAGCATAGATGCGCCTATAGAGAAAATTAAACCTAAATTCATAATAAATTTCTACTAACTTCAGAGAAATTCAGTATGAATTTAGGTCAAATTCCCTGTATAAGGGCATCTATTTTCATTTTGAGAGGAGCTCAACAAGGCAGAGAGGGAGGGGCTTATAAACCGGTGTGAGCCCCCTTCAGTTGGCGAGGTGGGACTAAACTCTGGCCGCAACGTGGACCAACCATTTAGTCCCGGTTGGTGGCACGAACTGGGACTAATGGGCTGCCTTTGGTCCCGGTTCGAGCCACCAACCGGGACCAATAGTGGTGGGCCAGGAGCGATGACCATTGGTCCCGGTTCGACCCACCAACCGGGACCAAAAGGTCCAGACGAACCGGGACCAATGGCCCACGTGGCCTGGCCGGCCCCCGGGGCTCACGAACCGGGTCCAATGCCCCCATTGGTCCCGGCTTTGGATTGAACCGGGACTAATGGGCTGACCTGGCCTGGACCATTGCCCCCTTTTCTACTAGTGTATGATGGAGGTGGGGGTGTGCTCCGTGGTGTCGGGTGTGCCAACATTGACCGATCCGACCTTCCGGACAAGTATGGATAGCCCCATATCCGCCCACATGACCTAGAGATGGGGGTGCTGGATAGCCTGGACATGTGGGTTAGGTATAAGGGGTTAGGCTGGATGGTGTTGTTGATTCAGGCTCTGCCCCGCCTGTTTGTCCGGACATATGGCGAGGGGAGGGGAGTAGCGGTTCGGTTGGAGATGCTCTAACATATAGTACATTGGCCTCTAATACACATGTATTGGGAGCGGGCGGTTGTCAATATCACCGAGATCTTAATGGTGGTGCTAGATGGGTTTAAAGTGTCGGTGATAGAAAAAATTCGAATCTCACCATAGTATATCCAAAATTGTAGAATTGTTTAGGGAAACATTCATTGATTTTGTACAAAAAGGATTGAATTTTGATAAAATTATTGGACTTAGTTTGGATCTAATATATACAAAGAGATTGGTTGCATTCTACGGCATATTTGATCTTGAATTGGATGGTGTGCTTCTAACTGACTGGAGGACCAGATAACTTTTCAATAGATCAAAATTCTGACACTTATTTTGGATCTAATATATATACGTGTAGATGAAAAATACACACACACACGGATTGAACAAAAGTGTTCATCATTCAATGTGCTAGATGATATCAATGTGTGCAAATGACTTTAAGTATGTTGCTATAGCCAAATATCTCTTACTCAAAATTGTTGATTCATGCCATGAACCACGAAGCAAAAAATAATATTGTCTCATTTATCATCATGAAAAATCATAAAATACCACCCCTTTTGGCAACCTCAACTCTGAACTCGTTGTTTGCGTAGTTTGTATATGTACCGAGAACTTAATAAGCTTAGTCATAAAACATGAGACCAATTAAAAGTCAATACAATGTGCTTGAGCTAGGTTTCATAAAGAAAGTTTGTCAAATACTGTATATGCTAAAGGTAAAACTAGTGTTTGTAATGCCGACGGAGAACTTAAACTAGGATGAAAATGCTTTTGGAACTCGGTTGTTTGGTACCCTAAAATCTACATTAATAACTTAAATTTAGAAACTGGTGAAGAATCCCATGACAAGGTCACCCCCCTCCCCCCCACCCCGGTTGAGGGACAAACTTGATTTTGGCTCGAAATTTGCATCTTCCACCACCGTCAAGGCCCAGCGGTGCTGCGGCGACCTTCTGATCGCATGCAGTTTTTGTCCTCGGTGGTGTTGTGGTTGGTTCAGCATCAAAATCTCAATGAAAAATAAGGAGCACGTTATCATCATTTGCTTGTGTGTCTGGGGTATTCTTTGCAAAGTTCTTGGGCCTTGAGTCAAAAGAGATATAATGTTTGCTAATATTTAATGAAACTAATCCAGGGCCTTCGGGACCCCTCTCTTGTTATCATGGTTCTACATTGTTACTTTGGATTATTTTTTTCATTTGTCCAAGATTACCATCATCATACTAACACCGGTTGTCTGTACCATGTGTGTTACTTGCCGCTACTATTGTGCATGTAAATTCAGAATTACAATATTAAAACATAGGCAAAGCCTCTTTGCTTCAAAGAATATTTGAAGATTTGTATATGATTTCAAACCTGAGATTTTCTTCTTCTTTTAGAATTCATGTGTGGTCCGACGCGTTCTCCAAATGTATTCCTAATTGTAAGCCTTGGTCCGGCATAACCTTATGGCCATCCATCTTGATGATATCATACTCATCGGCTGAGTAGGCGCATGCACTGTCACTTCAGCCATCACCCGCGTGGACCGCTGGCGCCCTGTAGCTATGCATGTCAGCTTGTTGGAAAGAGAGTAAGGAGAGAGAGCAAGCTTCGTGCATGCATGTGTAACTGCTTTCAAAGAGAGAAAATGTGAGAAGAGAGAGACTATATTGTGCATGCATGTGTGAGACTGTTTCCTGCCAGACCTATTCTTCGATGCTACTTCCTCCTCCCGTCCCTGTTTGTCTGCTTAAAAAAGTCTGCCTAATTACTCTGGTACTGCAAAGCATCTGCTGTTGGACAGTGGTTAGTACGAATTTTATTTTCGCTGAATGGACAAGACTGGAGGGTGCCGGGTGTCGTCGCACCTTTCCGCTTTAAAATCCGTGTTAGTTTAATTTTTCTTTTCACGGACGATCACGGACAAGCGCACGCGGTCCGCTCGCATCCCTAAGTGTCGGAGTAATCCAAACAAGTTATGTGTTATGACTTATGAGCCAGATAAGCTAGCTAGTACGATGCCAATGATCGAATTGTAATCGAGTTTGTTTTGTCTTGAATTGCTTTGCCTAAGCTGGTGCATATAATGTAATTGGGAGTGTGTTTAGTACGTGGCCGTGTTGTACTAGCAGTTTTTTGTTCTGTTCGAGTCTGCAGGCAGGCTTGGTAGGTTAATAGGCCGATTCGTGCGTGTATATAACTAGCAGCAGGTCATTAAGTTGTAACACCAGCAAATTAATTAGGAGAAGCCTGGCTGTTTAAAGTATTATTTCATGTATCCTAGGAAAAAAAGTATTATTTCATGTATATATTTGGTAAGGATCAGATGTATAGGTGGTAGGTTATCGTTTAGAGTCAATCTCCGGCCGTACGTACGTGTTGTTATCAATCAGGGTTGTTAGCCTGTTATAGGATAGTTTGCTTTCTTGCCGTGCAAGTCCTTGTAACCTGACATGTCCTATATAAGTCGGACGAGCCGACCGCCCCTGAGCATGGCGTTTCCATCCAAGCTTTTCTTGGCCTATTTCGAGTTCCTGGTGCGTGTGTTCTAGTCTGCTCCGATATATAGGTGTGTTGCCGCTGGACGTATCTGACCTGTCCCGTCAGATCCCTGGGAAAAGCTGATCGCGCGCTCATAGTCAGAGGAATCATGTCGTTCGCCGGCGAATCTGTCATTGCTAACGGTCTGCTGCTGCTGCCGCCGCCTGTGTCGTCGGCCGCGATATACTCCTCCACCGGCAGCTGGTATCACCTGCTCGTGGTCCAAGGTTACTCCTGCATCAAAGACACACCCCCTGGGAAGTGCATCACTGGTTGCTGTTTTAGAGCTGGAGCCTATGAATGGACTATAGGGCTCTATCCCAACGGTTATCTCCAGGCTCCAGGTTTCATGTCCGTTTTTCTTTTTCTTCAACGGGGACAGGATGTTGCACAGCCTGTGAAAGCGCATCTGCACTTCAGTTTCGTTGACGAGGTTGACCAACAAGAGCCTGCACGCATCCGTGCACAACAAGCAGACGAGTTCCATCGCAGTGGCCTAGGTCATGGTTGCTATACTTTCATAAAAGTAGAGGACCTTGAGCAGTCAAAGCATTTCAAGGATGACTCGTTCACCATCAGATGCGATTTTGTCATCCCGCAAGCTGCTGCTAACTTCATCGAGGTACAACCATCCAACATATGCGAGCAGCTGAACCATCTCCTTGCTACAAAGGTCGGTGCTGATGTGACATTCGAGGTTGGCAGCGAGACGTTTGCCGCTCACCGGTGCGTGCTTGCGTCTTGTTCTGCAGTCTTTATGGCGGAGCTCTTTGGTCCCATGAAGGAAGGGACTACTACGGCTGGTGCCATACAGATACAAGACATGGAGGCAAATGTGTTCAAGGCCTTGCTTGGTTTCATCTACACTGACTCGATGCCCAAGATGGAGGTTGAAGCACCAGAAGCTGGATCTGACGTTGCGTGGCTGCAGCACTTGCTTGTTGCTGCAGACAGGTATGATCTCCAGCGGCTCAGGTCGATGTGTGAAAAGAGGTTGTCGGAGCACATAGACATGAGCTCGGTCACAACCATACTATGTCTAGCTGTACAGGCGTACAGCACCATTCGTGCGGACTGAAGGAGGCCTGCCTGGAGTTCCTCAAAGTGCAATCCTCTAAAGACCTGGGACAGATTATGGCGACCAGTGACTGGGAGCACATTGCCGCCAATCCCTCTGTTATGAACGAGCTCGTCATCAAGCTTGCTTCGAGAGTGTAGCTCGCTGCTTGCTCGTCATCATCCTAGCCGTTGGGCTACTAGCGCTCTGCCGATGTGTTTGCCGTGCTCTTCCCAGACGTGCATGCATGGTATGGTTTTACCGTTTTAGGCTTCAGTCAACATGTTTTTCTTTTTCTTCCGCTGGAGTTTGAGTAGTGTTAGCAACTGAGTCCGGTTTGAAGTAAGCATTTGTGTTGTTTTAGCAACTTATATCCTGCTAGTATATATATATATCATGTTATTTTCCTGTCCGGCTGTGTCGGTGTAATGGTAGAGTCCGAGTCATTTTGTGTCGCTTGTTCATCTATGTACGAGATTTTACTATGAGTTGTGAAAAGAAATTCAAAAGGAAGAGAAGAGAATATTTTATGGGCGATGTTAGGCGCGCCGGCCGAACTGTTGGGCCGGTCGAGCCCTGGCCGCCCGATACGCGCGATTAAAACCGCCATATCTGACCACAGCTTCGTCCTCCTCGCAGTCACCCCCTCCCCCTCCCCTGCAATAAAAATTGCAACGCCCCCGAGCACCGCCGACGCTCCGCACCCCGCGGCCCCGCCATACCCCCTGTGAGAAAACGACCGAACTTGAAGCACCACCGTGGCGTCCTCGTCGCCGCTCGGTGCCCTCGCCGTCCGTCCTCGTCGCCGATCGCCGCCCTTGTCCCAGCTCCACTCATGCAATAGTTGTACCCTCTGGTTGCAGCTCCGCTTGGCGATGGCTGTAGCTTGGTGGCCAAGCAGCACCGCCCATGCCGTTGACCGCTATATGCCGGATTGAAGCTCTCCTTTTCATGGCCATTGAAGCTTTTTCCAAGGTTGAAGCTTTTCACAGACCGGTTGAAGCTTTTTCCCACACCGGTTGAAGCTTTTCCCGCGCCGCGCTCGAAGAGATTTTTTTCGCGATTGAAGCTTATTATCCATGACTTTGCTGCAAATGGCTCGAGGGAAATCTACAACCAATGGCCGTTTTTGCTACAACTAGGAAGATGACGAAGTGTGGCCGGCGATGACGGGTTGCGAATTTTGTTGCAACCGGCAGTGGGGAAAGGTACCACCGGCTAACAAATTTGCTGCAACCGGTGTCCGGTGGCGCAACCGGCGTGCGGTGGTGCGACGAGCGGCGACATGGGTGACCACGGGGACTAGAATTTGCTACCGCCGGTGCACTTTTTGCTATCACCATGGTGACCGCGTGCTACGAGGGTGCGGCAACGGGGAGTTGCGACCTCGACGACGAACGTTGGAACCGGCATAATCCATCACGCAGATGTTGCAACCGCCGCGGGGGAAAGCTTCAGCCTTGCTGAAAGAAGCTTCAACCGTCAGGAACATGAGCTGCTTCCAGCAGGAGAGGGAGCTGCAAAAATGGTGAAGCAATCATCCCTGAGATGTTTTGACTTCTCAAGGTCCTCTCTCTTGATGAATCGAAGGCGACCCCACTTGGTGTGGCCGGTTGAGAAGTCAATAGTTTTGATTGCACGAATGTGTGTAGGCTGTTGCTTTTCAACCTCATCCATGAAACTAAACTGCAGATGCACTCTTACGGGCGTTGCGAACCATCCTTGTCAAGGGAAAGAATAACACACGCGAACCCATCGTTCTTGGAGGGATTACCGTTAATAGCGGGCTATGAAAAATAGCAGCGGACCTCCAAATCAGCTATAGCGGACTAAAGCGGGCTATTTGTAAAGGCGACCATTTAGCAGCACCCTGCTGAAAAGGCTATAGCGGGCTATAGCGGAGCTATAGCTGGCTATTTAAAACTATGGATAGAACTTAAAGACCACCAGTAGCCTCCAGCTCGGAAAGAGCGACCCTTGATGCAGACTCCACTCCACTGGGCATGTTTTGGAGACCGGAGTAGCCTTCGACCACGAGCAGGTGATGATACCAACTGCCGCAGGCCGTGCCGGAGTAGATCATGGCCGACGACTCCACGGACGGCTCCAGCAGCTTGCCATGAGCAACAACGGATACATCGGCAAATGACATGATTCTGGTGAGTGTATATCTGCGATCTCACTAAAGTTTTTCTAAGGAGACGCAACACACGATCTCGCGGCCGCACAACTTACTCGGCCTATGCGCTGGCTCCGACTTGGCCGGAATACAAAACTAGCCGAAACTTGGTATTGGATGTGAGAATTACACGATGTATTAATTCGGTGCAATGTGCACGGTATATATAAGTACAATGTTGGGCCTCTACCTCAATCTATACAACAAACTATATAGAGAGGTGGGCCTAATGTACAAAAGACAATATACATGCACAAATAATATCCTCAACCCCCACCCCCCCCCGCGCAGTCGAAGCGGCACCGCGGCTGACGCAAAGACTGGACCGGAACTTCTCAAATGACGCCGTAGGCAAGCCCTTGATCATGATATCTGCAAATTGGTGGGAAGTAGGAACGTGTAAAACATGAATATGACCAAGAGCCACCTGTTCCCGAACAAAATGAATATTCAACTCAATATGCTTGGTCCGTCGATGATGCACCGGGTTAGCAGAGAGGTAGACCGCCGAGACGTTATCGCAGTAGACCACCGTTGCACGGTCAATAGGGCAAGACAGCTCCTGAAGCAGCTGACGAAGCCAGGAACACTCAGTGACGGCGTTGTCCACCGCACGATACTCAGCCTCAGCACTGGACCGTGAGACCGTAGGCTGCCGCTTGGACGACCACCAGATAAGTGAGGGTCCAAGGTAGACACAATAGCCCGAGGTGGAGCGACGTGTGTCAGGGCAGCCCGCCCAGTCTGCATCAGAGTAGGCTGTGAGGGCGATGTCGGCGGAGGCGTGAAGCGTGACTCCAAGATCCATAGTGCCACAAACGTAGCGGAGAATCCACTTGACAACGGCCCAGTGAACATCCCGAGGAGCATGCATATGAAGACACACCTGCTGCACTGCATACTGGATCTCTGGTCGAGTCAAATTGAGGTACTGGAGAGTACCAACAATAGACCGATAGAAAGCAGCATCTGAAGCAGGGGAACCATCCGTGGTAGAGAGCTTGGCCTTCGTATCAACAGGCGTGGCGGCGGGCTTGCAGTTAAGCATGCCAGCGCGCTCCAAGAGCTCATGAGCGTACTTCCGCTGATGAAGAAATAAGCCATCCGGACGGCGCACCACCTCAACACCGAGGAAGTAGTGCAGAGGACCCAAGTCCTTGATGGCGAACTCAGCGCGAAGACGAGCCGTGAGCTGACTGAGAAGGCCAGCCGTACATGCCGTCAGGATGATGTCGTCGACATATATCAACAAGTAGGCCGTGTCGGAGCCCTGATGATAAACGAAGAGCGATGCGTCCGAGCGAGTGGAGCGGAACCCAAGCTGATGAAGAAACGCCGCGATGCACTAGTACCAAGCATGCGGAGCCTGCTTGAGTCCATACAAGGATCGCGAAAGTAGGCACACATGGTCGGGAAGTGCCAGATCAATGAACCCGGTGGGCTGCTGGCAGAAGACCTGCTCCTCGAGGTGACCATGAAGGAAGGCGTTGGAGACGTCCATCTGGTGCACCGGCCAAGCACGGGAGACCGCAAGGTGGAGAACCTTGCGTATCGTGTCGGGCTTGACGACCGGAGCGAAGGTGTCGGTGAAGTCGATGCCAGCACGCTGTCAGAATCCACGAACAACCCAGCGCGCTTTGTAGCGATCAAGGGTGCCATTGGGACGGAGCTTGTGTTTGAAGACCCACTTCCCGGTAATCACGTTGGCGTGCCGGGGACGGGGAACAAGCTGCCACGTCCGGTTGCGCAACAGGGCGTCAAACTCCTCTTGCATCGCAGCCATCCAGAGCGGGTCATGAAGAGCGGCTCGGACGGAGGATGGCAATGGCGACGGCTCAGAGGTGGATGCCGCATAGACGTAGTCATCCGCGACGTAGCGCGAGCTCGCGCGAAAAACACCCGTACGAGCACGGGTGAACGGACCGGCCACAGGTGCCGGAGGCGCGGGGGCCGAGGGCGCCGAGGGGGCGCCGAGGGTGCCGAGGGGGGCGCCGAGGCCGGGGGCGCCAGGGGCGCCGAGGGGAACGCGGAGGCCGCGACTGTAGGAGGCGCCGCATGCGGGGGGCGTGCCTCAAAGCCAGGGGCGGGCCAAGAGAGGCGCGCGAGCGCCCTGGGAGCGGCGTCGAGGAGCCCGCGTCACCGGTGATGGGAGGAACAACCGGAGGTACCTGCTGAAACGGAAACACATGCTCATCAAAGTAAACGTGCCGGGAAGTGAACACATGATGGGAGACGGGATTGTAGCACCGATATCCCTTGGAGTTGGAAGGGTAGCCGATGAAGATGCAAGCGACAGAACGAGGTGCGAGTTTGTGAGGAGCGGAGTCCACAGTGCTAGGATAGCAAAGGCACCCTAAAATACGCAAGTCATCATAAGATGGGGGCGTACCGAAGAGAAGATGGCGAGGTGCATAGTTCCACCGTGGGCGGCAAGGGCGAAGGTTAAGGAGAAGTGAAGCAGTAGCATGTGCATCCGGCCAGAAACGAGGCGGCACATTAGCGTGGAACAGGAGCGTCCGAACACAGTCGTTCAGAGTGCGAAGGACGCGTTCGGCTCGACGATTCTGCTGTGAAGTATACGTGCACGTGAGACGAAAAACTGTGCCGTGGTGCGACAGAAAAGTGCGGAAAGCAAGATTGTCAAACTCTTTTCCATTGTCAGTCTGAAGAGCAAGGATGGGACGCCCAAACTGCGTGCTGACATAGGAGTAAAAGACCGACAAAGTGGAGACTGCATCCGACTTTCGTCGTAAAGGAAACATCCACACATAATGAGAATAATCATCAAGAATAACCATATAATATAAATAGCCCGAATTACTAGGAACTGGAGATGTCCACA